CCCTCCCCCATTTCTGAAGCAGGGTCTAGACCCGGAATGTCAGTTTTCTTGCTCCTCTGATGCTCTTTGGCCAATTTGTTCTCATCTCTGTTTTAAACCTGCTCCTCCTTCAGCCTAAGACTGACCTCTTGGTCTCGATTACCCCACAAGAGGAAGCACCTCTCCACATCTGCTTTTGCATTGCAGAACCATGATTTAATTACTATGAGTAAATGTTGCTGCCTGGTCCGCCCAATTCGAAATGAGCTCTGTGACCTTTGGTTGATAGAAAGGTGGATAAACCTGGCAGGTTTTTGTTTTCATTTGCTGTTTTAAATTTGGCCACAGATTTGAATTGCATGTAATTGTTACATATTTAAGGCTACTTGAGTTTAAAAAAAATAATATATCCGTACTCCTTAGGTTTTGTTACGTCTGGAAACATTACTTTCTTGTGTGATTTGGATGCATGTTAATGAAATTGATATTTGGTTCTGTGTTGTATTTTCTTCACTTAATGGATCTGTAATTCTGTTTTACAATCACCTCATGCTTATTGTTATATACCCATTACTATTTTTAGGTCATGTTCAGAAGTTTGACATGTTCATTGTTGAGAAGTGGCCCATTGTGCAAGCATTTGCGCTGGAAGGCATTGGAGGAGGGGAATTTTTTACTATGAAACATGAGGTATTTAATTTTCATGTGGGTGTTGTGCAAAATTATCTATATTAAAGTTAACAAATTTGAAAGGCATGTCTGTGAAGTCTCTCCAAATTGAGTCAAGCAGGCAAAAGTCATGGAGGTTTGACAAATGATTTAAATGTTACACCTCAACTATCAACAATGGGTCATAATAGATGGAGGCTGAAGGGTGACCTTAAAATCGTGAGGGGCATGGATAGGATAAATAGGCAAGGTCTGTTCCCCAGGGTGGGGGAGCCCAAAATGGGAGGGCATAGGTTTAAGGTGAGAGGCAAAAGATTTAAAAATGACCTAAAGGGCAACTTTTCATGCAGAGGATGGTGCATATGTGGAATGAGCTGTTAGAGAAAGTGGTGGAGGCTGGTACGTTTACAACATCTAAAAGGTATCTGGAGGGAGGAGTGAATAGGAGGGGTTTAGAGGGATACAGGCCAAATGCTGGCAAATGGGACGAGATTAATTTAGAATATCTGGTTGGCATGGATGAGTTGGACCAAAGGATCTGTTCCTGTGCTGTACAGCTCTATGACTCTAAGTTAGTTTGACATTTTTGAGGCACTGGAAACCACCATGCGATTTAATTCGAAGTGGGATTAGTATGTTAGGCTAATCTTGAGCTCCCTCATTCTCTCTCAGTAAATGTCAGGTTATGCACGTTGTTAGGTAGCTTAGAGGAACTGACTATTATTTAAGTGGGGAAAGATTGCAGGAAACTGTACCATAGAGGGATTTGGGGTCCTCGTGCATGAATCACAGAAAGCTAGATCCAAGTTCACTGGGTAATAGGAGAAGCAAATGGCCTTTTTTTTTTCCCCAAGGGAATAGAGTTAAAAATCTTAGAACTATATGATGCTTTAGTCAGACCATGTGTGTAATACTGAATAGTTTTGGATCCCCCACTGGGATTGGAAGCAGTCCAGAGAAGGCTGACAGATTAATTCTGTAAATGGAGGGGTTATCTTATGAAGAGAGGTTGAGTAGGTTGGGTCTGTACTTGTAACATAGAGGAATGAGAGGAAACCTTAGAGTAACATACAAGATTCTTAGAGGACTTGGCAGGGTAGATGTGGAAAAGTTATTTCCTCTTGTGGAGAGTGTAGAGTCGGGAATATAATATCAGGATAACCGGTCACCCTTTTAAGATCAATTTGAGCACTTCCTTCGCTGAGGGTTGTGAATCTATGGAATTCTTTATTACACAGGGCTGTCGAGGCAACGTTCTTGGGTATATTCAAGGTTGAGATGGACAGATTAGACAAATTCTTAATCTGTAAGTGAATTGAGAGTTATAGGCTAAAGGCAGGAAAGAGGAGTTGAGGATTATCAGATTAACTGTGATTGTATTGAATGGTACAGCAGACTGAAACATGACAGATTGGCTGGATCCTGAAGATATTTTTCTTCATGAATCCAGAATAAAAAGAGTATTATTGTGGCTCTTGGTAACTAAGTTTCTGTGTCGCTTCAAGAAAAACATTAACAATAGGTTTACTTTTTATTATATTGCCTGTCAACTTCTTTCAATTTCTTTCAATTGTAGTTGTTTGATGCTAGTGAGGAGCTGTGGCAGACTTACAACAGATTGGATCCAGTCTCTCTGGAAGTCTTGATTACTGAGGTAATTCTTAAGAAATACTTATGTGTTATAATGTTTAATTTAGTTTCTAACTCTTGATTAGAGCTGCTTTGCAATGAGGGATGCCATTGGTGGAATTTCAGTAAACCAAGGTGTTTAAGAGTAGAGTGAATGTTGCATTCTTAGAGTAATGCAGGCTGAAGTTGCGTTTCTTAAGTTACATAACAGGTCATCTTTCAGAATATTAACTTGTGTTTGTTTTAATTGGATGAGAAATGAGTTTATACATAAAGTAGAAATATTTGTACTTTTGTGATATCTTTAGTGAAATGCTGCTAATGGAAAACTGAATTATAGGAGCTTAACAGTTTGTTTGCTGTATCCATTTTTTGATCATTTTGAATTTTTCAGGATTTGACAGCATTTGACAGACAATGGGCAAGCTTCTTTTCCAATTTTGACATTGAGGCCTCTTCCTCACTGCTGGAACTTTCAGAGGCACAGGCTGGAGAGGTGGGGAATACATAATTATTAAAGTATATCTTATCCCATGAGCATTTATCCTTGAACTTTAATTACAGTTATGCTGTTTAAAAATGATAAGCAAAAAAATTGCCTGTGTTCTAAAATACGTAAACTAATTAGAAAGAAGGATTTCAATTCACAGAGCTGAATTTCTAATTCTATGGACTGTCTGACCAAAAGTTGTTCTTATAACTTATAATTGTTTTTGGAGCTGAGTCGAAGATAAATTTTGATCTGAGATAGGTGGTGCAATGCTTTGGGTTAAATCCACAAGGTTCAGAGTTCTCATTGTTCTTTTAATGGTTGATTTACATGGTTTTGGTTATGATAGTTCCAAATGTTGTTTTGCATTAAACTGTTTTCGTATTTTTTTCCCTGAATTCTTTTACCCTGCCCCTTTCACAGCCACTTGCCTCCACATATACTACTTTTAGCTGGAAGAGCAGACAAATGGGCTGCAAGCTACACCATGGCTTTCAAAACCAATGCTCTTCCATGGATCAACTAATAAGAGGCATGATGGTAAGGGGTATGAAATTCAATATGTCTTTTAAACCCTGCAGGGGATGCTGCAGGTGATTCCACTTGCTGCATTGTAGAAGCAGCTGCAAGTGATGAGAACTGTTTTATAGTTGAGTGTCAGCTGCTTATGTTTTATGGGATGTAAACTGGAACTGCTGTAAACCTTTCCATTTTTAACAATTTAAATAAGATACTTCTTTGCCACCTCTACTCAACAAAACCAATGTTGAATTTAAACAATAACTTCCCAAACTGACCACATTATTTTGGAGAGGAGGGAGGGGAAGTGGGATAAAATTGGTCTATCCACCTCCCTTGATATGTCAGGAATAAAAGAATGACTAGAGTAAGATTAGGGCCAGTCAAGGACAGTAGTGGGAAGTTGTGCGTGGAGTCCGAAGAGATAGGAGAGGCGCTAAATGAATATTTTTCATCAGTATTCACACAGGAAAAAGACAATGTTGTCGAGGAGAATACTAAGATACAGGCCATGAGACTAGACGGGATTGAGGTTCATAAGTAGGAGGTGTTAGCAATTCTGGAAAGTGTGAAAATAGATAAGTCTCCTGGGCCGGATGGGATTTATCCTAGGATTCTCTGGGAAGCTAGGGAGGAGATTGCAGAGCCTTTGGCTTTGATCTTTATGTCGTCATTGTGTACAGGAATAGTGCCAGAAGACTGGAGGATAGCAAATGTTGTCCCCTTGTTCAAGAAGGGGAGTAGAGACAACCCTGGTAATTATAGACGAGTGAGCCTTACTTCGGTTGTGGGTAAAGTGTTGGAAAGAATTATAAGAGATAGGATTTATAATCATCTAGAAAAGAATAATTTGATTAGGGATAGTCAGCACGGTTTTGTGAAGGGTAGGTCATGCCTCACAAACCTTATTGAGTTCTTCGAGAAGGTGACCAAACAGGTGGATGAGGGTAAAGCGGTTGATGTGGTGTATGTGGATCTCAGTAAAGCGTGTGATAAGGTTCCCCACAGTAGGCTATTGCAGAAAATATGGAGGCATGGGATTGAGGGTTTAGCGGTTTGGATCAGAAATTGGCTAACTGTAAGAAGATAGAGGGTGGTGGTTGTTGGGAAATGTTCATCCTGGAGTTCAATTACTAGTGGTGTACCGCAAGGATCTGTTTTGGGGCCACTGCTGTTTGTCATTTTTATAAATGACCTGGATGTGTTAGTAAATTTGCGGATGACACCAAAGTCGGTGGAGTTGTGGATAGTGCGGAAGGATGTTGCAGGTTACAGAGTGACGTAGATAAGCTGCAGAGCTGGGCTGAGAGGTGGCAAATGGAGTTTAATGCGGAAAAGTGTGAGGTGTTTCACTTTGGAAGGAGTAACAGGAGTACAGAGTACTGGGCTAATGGTAAGATTCTTGGTAGTGTGGATGAGCAGAGAGATCTCTGTGTCCGTGTGCATAGATCACTGAAAGTTGCCACCCAGGTTGATAGGGTTGTTAAGAAGGCGTACAGTGTGTTAGGTTTTATTGGTAGAAGGATTGAGTTTCGGAGCCATGAGATCATGTTGCAGCTGTATAAAACTCCGCTGCGGCTGCACTTGGAGTATTGCTACAGTTCTGGTTGCCGCAATATAGGAAGCATTGGAAAGGGTGCAGAGGAGATTTACCAGGATGTTGCCTGGTATGGAGGGAAGGTCTTATGAGGAAAGGCTGAGGGACTTGAGGCTGTTTTCGTTAGAGAGAAGAAGGTTAAGAGGTGACTTGATAGAGACATAAAGGATGATCAGAGGATTAGATAGGCTGGACAGTGAGAGCCTTTTTCCTCGGATGGTGATGGCAAGCACGAGGGGACATAGCTTTAAGTTGAGGGGTGATCGATATAGGACAGATGTCAGAGGTAGGTTCTTTACTCAGAGAGTAGTAAGGGCGTGGAATGCCCTGCCTGCAACAGTAGTAGACTCGCCAACTTTAAGGGCATTTAAATGGTCATTGGATAAACATATGGATGATAATGGAATAGTTTAGGTTAGATGGGCTTCAGATTGGTTTCACAGGTCGGCGCAACATCGAGGGCCGAAGGGCCTGTACTGCGCTGTTATGTTCTATGTTCTATGCCCGCCACCCCACAGACATGTATGTGCACTGATACACATGCACTAAGGCTGAAATTAGACAGCCATGATCGCATTGAATGGTGGTGCAGGTTAAAAGGATTGAATTACCTAGCCCTTCTAGTTCTGGCACATAAGTGCATGGGAATTGATTTTTGGAAAGGAGACAAAAATGATTTAATATTTAACCATAATCACTCTGTCTTCCTGCAAGTGTGTTGGAAGGCAAATAATTGTATGCAAGTACTTAAATTTGATAGAATTTATGTGCTTCAGAGATGTGTCACTTACCAAGGATCAGCCTCTTAATTTAGTCTAACAGAAGCTGTGAAACATATTGATTATCTTGAGGCAGGTTGGCATTGATTACCTTACTATTCCTTTGCCGCAAATGTTTTATTCCCATCTACGTAAAACATTTTGATTTCTTTTTCAGCCGTTTCGAACTTACTTTAGCCATGGGTTGATCACCAGTCAAATTACAGAGAAAAGGTAAATGTGTATGTGCGCTACATTTTTATTTTGCTATTTCGCACAGCATCTAAGTTTTAATCTGTTGTAATTGTTTAAGTATGACTAAGTCGGTCGTATTTTGTCAAATTGGCTCTTTTTTTAAATTGACAGCACCACCACTTAGAAAAAATTTATATTTGGAGCAAAAGTAATCTCGTTAACTTGTTTTTAAAATAATTTTGATATAGACTCCAAAGTTCCTCAGTTAACAGGCGAAAACAGTATGAAACCATCAGGAACCAAAACTCTGATTGACTTGTTAATGTAGAATGTAAAACAGTACAGGCCCTATGCCTACAACAATGCCATTCTAAAATAATCGCATCTGACTGCACGTGGTCCGTATCCCTCTATTCCCTGCCTATTGTGTCTGTTCAAATGCCTCTTCAATGTTGCTATTACATCTGTTTCTGTTACCTGGCCTGGAAGCGTGTTCCAGGCACCTATCATCCTCTATGTAACAAAGAACAAAACTTGGCTCGCATATCTCCTTTAAAGTTTTCCCCCTCTCTCCTGTCGTATTTGATTTCTCTAACCTGGGAAAGAAACTCCAACTATTCTCCCCATCTATCCCTCTCAATTTAATGTATTTTTTCAGGTTGCCCCACAGCCTCCGATGCCCGGCGAAAATAATCCAAGTTTGTCCAAGTGCTTCTTTATGGCTAATAGTCCACTTTGGGCAAGATCTTGGTAAACCTGTTATGCATCCTGTCTAAAGCCTGCATATCCTTCCTATTTCTCTGATCAACCTGGCCAGAAATGTTATTACACGCCTCTGGAGCGGGTGGGACTTGAACCTGTGCCATAGTGACATGGTTTGATCCAATACTGCAAATGTGGCCTAACTAAAGTTTTAGACAGCTGCAACATGACTTGCCAACTTTTGTACTCCATGCCGTGACCAATGAAGGCAAGCGTACCAAACGTCATCTTTATTGTGTTGCTACTTTCGGGGATCTATGGACTTGCACCCGGAGATCTCTCTGGACATCAGTGCTCCAAAGGGTCCTGCCATTTACTTATACTTCCCTCTTGCTTTTGACCCCCAGTTCTCCAACTAACTTTACAACTCATCGATATCCTGCTGTATCCTTTGACAAAATTCCTCACAGTTCACAACTTGACCAATTTTTGTGTCGTCTGCAAACTTGCTATTCAGACGTTTTCATCCAAATCATCCATCTGTACATAAGGTATATATTACAAACAACAAATCCTAGCACTGATCCTTGCAGACACCACTGGTCACAGATCTCCAGTCTCCACAACTAATCGCTGTTTTGTATGACCAAGTCAATTTTGGATCTAACTTAACAACTCGCTGTGGATCCCATGTGACTTAATCTTCTGGACCGGCCTACCACAAGAGACCTTGTCAAATGCTTCAGGATAGTCCATGTGGAAAACATCCACTGCCCTTCCCTAATCAATCATCTCTGTTGCATCCTCAAAAACTCCATCAAATCTGTAACGCAGGACCTTCCCCACACAAAACCATGCTGACTATCCCTAATAAGTCCCATTCTTCTTCAAATATGAGTAAACCCTCTTCCTAAGAATCTTCAGTAATTTCCCTACCACTGATGTGACACTCTCACTAGTCTGAGTTTTCTCGATTAACCCTGTTGCCCTTCTGAAACAAGAAAACAAATAACATAGAACATAGAACAGTACAACACAGCATAGGCTCTTCGGCCCATGATTTTGTGCTGACCTATTATCCTACTAAGATCAAACTACCCTGCGTCCCTTAAGTTCTACTATCATCCATGTGCCTATCCAAAAGTTGCTTAAATGTCCCCAATGTATCTGACTCCTACCACTGCCAGCAATGAATTCCATGCACCCACCACTCTGTGTAAAGAACCTACCTCTGACATCTCCCCTATACCTTCCTCCACTCACCTTAAAATTATGCCCCCTTGTAATAGTCATTTCCGCCCTGGGAAAAAGTCTCTGGCTATCCACTCTATCTATGCCTCTCATCATCTTGTACACCTCTATCCAGTCACCTGTCATCCTTCTTCACTCCAATGAGAAAAGCCCTAGCTCCCACAACCTTTCCTCATAAGACCTGTCCTCCAGTCCAGGCAGCATCCTGGTAAATCTCCTCTGCACTCTCTCTAAAGCTTCCACATTCTTCTTATAATGAGGTCACCAGAACTGAACACAATATTCCAAGTGTGGTCTGACCAGAGTTTTACAGAGCTGCAGCATAACCTTGTGGTTCTTAAACTAAATTCCCTGCCAATGAAAGCTAACACGCCATACGCCGCCTTAACCACCCTATCAACTTGGGTGGCAACTTCGAGGGATCTATGGACATGGACCCCAAGATCCTTCTGTTCCTCCACACTAGCAAGAATCCTGCCATTAACCCTGTATTCTGCATTCAAATTTGACTTTCCACAATGAATCACTTCACACTTTTCCAGGTTGAATTCCATCTGCCACTTTGCCCAGCTGTTCATCCTGTCAATGTCCTATTGCAACCTACATCAGCCCTCCATGCTGTCCACAATGCCACCAACCTGCGTGTAATTGGCAAACTTACTAACCGACCCTTCCACTTTCCTCATCCAAGTCATTTATAAAGATCACAAAGAGCAGAGGTCCCAGAACAGATCCCTGTGGAACACCACCGGTCACCAAGCTCCAGGCTGAATATTTTCCATCTACTGCCACCCTCTGTCTTCTACTGGACAGCCAATTCTTTCTCCAGACAGCCAAGTTTCCCTGAATCCCATGCCTCCCTAGTTTGTGAATGTGCCTACCGTGGGGAACCTTATCAAATGACTTGCTAAAATCCATATACACCACATCTATTGCGCTACCTTCATCAACGTGTTTTGTCACATCCTCAAAGAATTCAGTAAGGCTTGTGAAGCATGACCTGTCCCCCTCAAAGCCATGCTGACTAATTCTAATCAAACTGTGCTTTTCCAAATAATCATAAATACTATCTCTCAGAATCCTCTTCAATAATTTGTCCACCACAGAAGAAAGACTGACTGGTCTGTAATTCCCAGGATTATCCCTATTCCCTTTCTTGAACAATTAAGTAACATTTGCCACCCTCCAATCATCTGGTACTACTCCAGTGGACAGTGAGGACGCAAAGATAATTGCCAAAGGGGCAGCAATCTCTTCCCTCACTTCCTGTAGCAGCTTTGGGTATATCCCATCTGGCCCAGGTGACTTAGCTATCCTCATGTTTTTCAAAATTTCTAGCACATCCTCCTTCCTAACATCAACCTGTAACATCGGCGAATAGCCAATGTCTTTCGCCTGTGGCTAAAGAGGATACACGATACTTTGTCAAGGGCCCAGCAATTTGCTCCCTTGCCACCCTAAGTATCCTGGGACAGATCCCATCAACCTCTTGTGACTTGTCTATCTGAATGTTTTTCAAGACACCCAACACCATTTTCTCCTCAATATTGACATGCCCTGAATATCAACTTTTCCTCTCCAATCTTACTATCATCATGGCCTTCTCCATGATGAGTACCAATGTGAAGTACTCATTCAGGACCTCACCCAGTTCCTCAAGCTCCACACACTAATTTCTTCCCATGTCCTTGAGTGAACGTATCCTTCCCTAGCTACCACCTTGCTCCTTCTATGCATACATCATGCTTTGGGATTCTTCTTAATCCTACTTGTTAATGACATTAACACTTCTAAATACTTGCTTAAGTTCTTTTCTTTTGTTCTGCTTCCTTTATATTCTTCAAGGGCTTTGATTTCTGTTTCCTAAACCTTACAGATGCTTGCTTTTTCTTTTTGAGTAATCCTTCAATATCTCTTGTCATTCAGGGTTCCCAAATCTTTCCTTCCTCATCCTCATACGAGCTTACTGGTCCTGAACTCTGATCAACTGGCATTTAAAAGACTCCCGCATGTCAGATGTGGAATTATGGGGGAGTCGATGGCATAGTGGTATTATGGCTGGATGGTTAATTCAGAGACCTAGGCCATGTTCTGGGGACCTGGGTGGAAATCGAATTCAATGAAGAAAAAAATCTGGAATGAAGAGTCTAATGATGATCACAAGTCCATTGTTCACTGTCAGCAAAACCCATATCGTTCATTGCCATCTTGACCTGGTTTGGCCTAAATGTGACTTTGGACCCACAGCATTGTGGTTAACTCTCAGTTTGGAATGGGAATAAATTCTGGCCGAGCCAACGACACTCCCATCCTGTGAATGAAAAAAAAACCCCTCAAACAGCCACCCCCAATCTAATTTTCCCAGTGCCTGTCTAATATTGTTGTAATTAGCCTTGCCCAATCCAGCACTTTTACCTGCGGATCAGTTTTATCCTTACCTGTAACTATCTTAAAGCTTAATGAATTGTGAACACTGTTCCCAAAATCTTCCTTACTGAAATTTTGATCACCTAGTTATGCTCATTTCCCAATATCAGGTCTCGTATGGCCCCTAACCTAGTTGGACTATTTTAATATTGTCTCAAGAAACCCTCCTTTTTATGCACTTGTGGGATTTGGACATCGCTGGATGGCTGTCATTTTTATTGCCTGTTTCTAGTTGCCCTTGAGAAGGTGTTGGTGCGCTGTCTTCTTGAACCGCTGCAGTCCATATGTGTTATGTTAATCCACAATGACCTTGGGGGAGAATTCCAGGATTTTGACCCAGTGACAGTGAAGGGACGGTGAGTGGCTTGGAAGGGAACTTGCAGGTCGTGGTTTTCCCATGTATCTGCTGCTCTGTCCTCCTAGGTGGAAACGATTGTGGGTTTGAAAGATTCTATAGAAGGATCTTTGGTGAATATCTTCAGTGTATCTTGTAGATAATACATATTGCTGTATCGGAACATTGCTAGTGGAGAGAGTGGATGCTTGTGGATGTGGTGCCAATGTGGGCTGCTTTGTCCTGGATAGTGTCATGTTTCTTGAGTGTTATGGAGCTGCACCCATCCAGGCAACTGAGGAATATTCCATCGAATTCCTGACTT